CTTGCTCCTGGCAGCAATCAGGAAATGTTAAAATGTTGTTCTTATTTCGTGCAGTGATGGTGATTTACCATAGGTACTAATAAGGTGGTGTGAGCAGAATCTGCGTTACCATAAGGAAAACATAATGCATGTTGTGAATTAAGTAGCATGTCCTGAAGTGCTCTGGTATTTAACTAAGAAAAGGGAAATGTATTTTAAAAGGAATTAGTGCTTATGTACTCTGAAGTAATACTGAAGAATTAGTTGTTTTATATATGTATGGTAACCCTTTAAACACTTCAGTATTTGGCTGATTCTGACAAAATTCTCCATGAACAGTAGCTTTTCCTTATTTCTATAACAGAAAAAAAAATGTGAGTTTGAAAGAACTTGGTTCTTGCATGTACTGCTGAGATAAATCTGGAAACAGCAAAAAGTGTAACAGTTTCAACCTGATCTCATGCAGTAAGCCCTTTGATTGGAATCACTGCTATCAGATAAAGGTACCTAACTCAACTGCTTTGTCAGGTTTATTCCAATTCTGACAACTTAAAGGTCAATAATAATTAGAGCTAATAATGGAAAGCTTTTTGACCAAATGTTGTATTTGGGAAAAAAGTTCTTTCAATAATCAGTTGAAGCAGTTATTGTTTTAAAACAGAATAGAGTACTGTGTGAAACAAGCACATAATTATTTTAGTTTTAAAACCTTTTATTTGAGATAAAGCATGCTGCTATATACAGAAAAAAATGTAAGTCAAGGCAAGAGCAATACAGAATGGGCAACATATTCCTTAAAACTTACAAGATGCTTTTAAAAGCTTCAGTGCACCAGCAGTATGATATATTCTTCTCACTCCTAAATCACCTCAAGCAAAATGGCATTTCCTTGCAGATCCTGAGCAATCCCAGCTCTCTTTTATATAATGATAAATTAAAGTTTCCAAAACAAAACTTACAGCAATGGCTTCAAGAAATGACTTGTGCCAGTATAATATATTGAAATATAACTTCACATTGCTAATACCTTATTTCAAACAGCATCATTCAACTATGCAAACTAAATGTGTTATACATGTAGCAAAGTCTAGGCCAATCAGTTTTCCTTTTCAACTTCCTTTCTCCTATTTCATTACTTTTACATCAGTAAAACTCTGTGAAAATCTCATTCTTTTTCCTCCTAAAGAAGTACTATCAATAACTTCCCTCTCATTTTCTTCTAGAATTAAAGTCAAGAGACTACAATAGTGATGTGCTGCTGTATACTGAAGTTTGAGATAATAAAGGGGAAAAAAGCTAAACTACTTTATCATGAAGAACACAACCTGGGTTCATCATGATTTCACCTTAGGTGACAGTGAATGGCTAACAGGCTAACAGCAGAAACCTACTGCCTAGCAGTACATCTTTGCACAAGGGGCACACTCAGGCTCTAAGTAAGGCCAGCAGTTAATGTGTTACTGTGGCTCTCTGGTGTTTGCCCTCTGACTGGGGCCCTTTAGCTTTTAACATTAAGGAGCTGCGCGGACAGGCCGTGATGCCAGTTGCGCAATTTGGCAAAGCGTGGGCTGTTACGTTCCGTTTCAAACCTCTCCCTGTGGCATGAGGAAAGAGAGAGACAGAGAGAGACACACATACACAGAAGAAAGAAAGGAGGGAGAAAGAAAGGGGTTAGGGACCATGGCTACCACTCCCCTGCCTTACAACTAGGGCAATGGCAATTTATTTGGATTTTTTCCTCAGCTTTCAAATCAGCACAGTGAAGGCTGGATGATGATTTTTGGACCATGTGTGAAAGGTTTTGCAGTGGTTTATTTCTGAGAAGTAACTTGATACAACTTCTTGTTCTTTGACTTGTGCTTGGTATTACAGGGCTGCTTTTGCTAGAAATGCAGTGTAATCCCATTGTTTTTCTCCCAGCAGTTTCTCTTGGCTTTTCCCTCCCTCTGACACAACTGAGGAGCCAGTGAAATTTAACTCATACAAGATGAATGCAAATATTTTCCATTCTGTAACACCTAGGTCAGCACATATATTACCTGCTGTCCTTCCTGCAAGGACCACCAACCCCAGGTTTCAGCAATACTTTTCTACAGCTTCCTCAGAATTAGTGAGTATTAATGTTGACATTTGCATAGATATTTCTGGTCATTTGTGTCACAAAGCAGAACAACAGGGGATATTCAAAGCAAAGTCCTATGAAGTATTGGCCACCTCCTGCCACCCCTGACTGCAGACTGGGGTTCTCGAGCCATGTTCAGCACCTCTCAAGATTAATCTTTTCTAGATGCTGTTTGAATTCAGCTTTTGTATATAAAAAAGGGGACAAAGGAGGATGTGAGATGATAGCAGAGTCAAGGAGAAGTATATCAAACAGAATAAAAAATTAAATATTCTCATTATTTGCAAAACTTTTTGCAGTCATTGTAAACAAGGTCATTTTTTCCTCATTATTTGCACTCAAAACACAAGACGATTAATTGTGTTAATGCAATGGAACTTGAGAGTGAAACCAGCCAAACAGAAATGAGCAGACTGGGCTGGTTTTACTCCTCAGGCTGAGGAAAGCACAAAACAATAAACAGAGTAAATGCCAACAAATTCACTGATATTTCTAAATCTTTTGCTCTTAATAACACAGTGCCATGCAAGTAACAGTCCTAAAGGAGTCTTGATGTATGACTTTTCAAACTATTTTTAATGCTTTTAGGTAATTAAGAGATACAAAGTATTCCTAGCTGAAACTTCCTGATGGTATTTTTTTTCCAGCTACGCTGGAATGTACTCGCTCCAGTGGGTCTGATATGTAATTTAAGAACTCCCATACTGTTTTCAAGATACACCCTCCACTCAAGGAAAAGATATTCAGAAACATCTGTTTGGCTTAAAATGGACCCCATCTCTCCAGAAAATATTCCACAACAATCATCACACCAGCAATGAAAAGTTTTCATAGCAAGTTATACTTTTATATGTGCCTTCAAAATAGCAGTAGCATGAGCAAAGGACAGTCATGCAATACACTCATCAATATTAACTGAAAGGAATATTCTGCCACCCGAAAATTCCCAAATTTTATGGGGTTTTTTTTAGAACATATGTCATGAAGTTGGAATCGGCAATCTAAAAGTGACTATTTTAATGTAAAACAGTTCTGCCAAAAATAAGCTAAATCTTTCCTTCCCCCACTCCTAAGTGTTTGTAAGAAACCTGATCACCATTCCATGCAATTCCTGCTGGCTACACTGCAGAGCTGACACAAAAAGACAAGAGAAAGCACCAGAGAAAGATTGCTCACAGCCTGCCTGAGGCCACAGTGATGGATGCCTGCACAGCCAGGGCCCTGCTGCCAAATCCCCACTGGAGTGTGTCCAATGTTTGAGGTGAGCATCAAGCACCCAGATGGTGCCAGCACTGTCAGTGGGGTAGGAAGGAGACCCCATTTTATTCTTTGCACCAGATCTTACAGCAGTTGCACTGTCCCCGTGTAACTACCTATATATGCTCCCATATGCCTCTACTATAAATGCACACCTTAAACCTATTCAGCCGTGCCTAAACAAAACCAGAAGTGTCCTTGGGCAAGAAAACGATAACACAGTGATACCAAAAGACTGCACAAAATGTGCAAAGCACAGTGGATACTTTATTCAAGTAAAGTTATCCAAGTGTAACTCCAACATTTATTTCGAGTTACACTTGGATAGAACTTGCAATTTACACGTGTTGATGTGTTATCAGATAATTATAATCAACCCATCTCACACCACGTAAAGTTTCCAGTGTTTTGTATTTTCCAAAGCCATAGATTACACCTAGAGAGATTATTTCTTTAAAACCATATATTACTCTCAGATATGAATGGGGCACTGTTAAGTTCAGCACAATGCTTTAAATCCCATCATAGTAAGGATTTGGGTATGTGCTATTACATCAAACAGATAATGCACAATACATGTAATGAGAATTAGGCTTGCACATTAGAGGGAAGAAGTAAATCCCTGAGGGCTATAATGTCAAGCCTGATGTTCGGGCACCCAGCCATGAACATGCAGCAGAGGGTTTATAGCAAACACCAACTGAAAGCATTCTTGTATTCTCACAGGGGAGACAGCAGATATCTTTCTCACTGATTCAACATTTGTAACCTGCATTGTGATCAAAAGATCAGAACCTTTAAAGAACCCAAAGGGCAGTAAAATATAGAATAGAAAAAGAAGAGGTGGATTGAGTACCAAACACATCACCAAACCCAGCTGGCGGCTTAGAGAAGCTAAAGTGAAACAGGGATTGAAGTATGCAAACAGAAACTAAGGATTGCACACAGAACGCTCCTGATTCAACTGCAGTTTTTAAGCTCAACATAAGAATCTTTAATACATCTATTTCCTGGCTATGCAGGATGATGATAAATCTTTAATTCCATATTATATCTCTGAACATATCCACTTTTTCAGTGTTTTCGATACATCATATGAAACAAATACATTTATCCATTAGCAAAAGCAGTCCTGTGCTTCCATATTCTACACATTTAGGTCATATTTATTCCAAACAAAACATAAACTAATAATTATGGGTATGAATGGAAAAAACTCCTTTACTGTATCACTTAAGGAGCCTCAAATGTCAATCAGAGGATCATCCAAATAAATTGCTCACACATTACAGCATTATGTATTTTTCTCCACTCACACATTCAAGTAGTTACACAGGGCTTGGAACTCATCACATTCACACACCCAGTAAAGTACAGGAAAGTTGCATGAGCAGAGAGCTTTCAGACTTGAACACACACTTCAGCAATTTTGCAGTTTTTCCTAAAAACATGCTGATTTGTTATCCTTCTCATTCAAATGCCTCTCAACGATAGCACTTTAATTTTAGTGATTTTTTAAGTAAGTGCATTAGAATATTTTAGGACAAAAATATAATAAAGGAAGTTCATATTAATGCCATTTTAAAACATTATTGGGTTATCAGGAAGGAGAAAGCTGTATTTTTCACAGGGAGTTGCCTACCTTGACCTCCTCAGGGCTTCTTCATCTGGATCTTGCACTGTAGAAAAAAATGTTTCCATTAAAAAACAGAAAGAAAGGGATTGGCTTTATGCTATTTTAAATTCTTTAGCAACTTATCAAAAGCCTATCTAAAGGTTTTGCAGCAGTGGAATTTGCAAGAACATCATAAAGTGGAACGGTTCCCTAGGGACAGGAAGGAGGATGTTAAGAGGAAGGTAGCTATTACAACTACTTTCCCATTCATTATTAGCAATGTTTCACAGCTGTAGGCAATGATTCTACAGAGAGGTCCTGATGTTTAGTACAAAGCAGAAGAGACAGCAGCAGCACATTAATGGGGGAAGGAAATATTAAGTATTTCCTCCTGACATGGGAAAAGACCCCAACCTTCCTTCTCTCTATGTCAGAAACTACCTGTGAACTTAGTACCAGGTAGCCATAAAAACTTTTCCCTAGGCAACAAGCAACAAAGCTAAATCTCCGTGACACTCATATCTGATCTAGGTTTAGATAACTGGGCTGGTAGAGCCATAGATTCCATACAAATGGTGATTCATTAATTTTTTTGACCTCCAGAAGTCACTTCTATGAAAGACTGTTACAGGAGACATGACTTGTTTATTTTTTGTCTAAAGAATGGACAGCTCTGTGTGTTTAGGCTGCAGGAAACCCAAAGATTGCACTGCAGAGACTCAATTTGTAAGTAGGAGTAACTATAGGGTCCCAAATGCTCATTTACTGTACAATCTGTTACACGTTCATGGTGATATCCCTGGCAGATCAAAGAATTTTCTTCATAAAGCATGAGATTGTTCACTTTGATTTCTAAATTCCCTCAAGTTACATCCAGGATCTTCACCCTTGCTGACAACTACATGAGCCTGGACAGGAGTATTCCCTGAGTATCAGTGGTCAATACCAGGGCAGTGAGGAAAGACATGAATCTAAAATCAGGATGAGAGGCATGTTTTGTCTTTCAACTTACTGTACTCAGTTCCAGTCATCTGGGCAAGGATGCGGAAGGACTTGGACTGCAGGTTGGCAGAGCGACGGCTCCAGTCCTCGCTCTCATCCTCAGGCTTGTTCTGAGTTTTAAGCACAGCCTGATACACCGGAGAGGCACTGTCTACATGAGGATCCTTTAAAGGGAGGGTACTGCAATTCAGAAAGGGAAATGTTGGAAGCAGCTCTCTGATCTCAGTTTCTCACCCAGGCATCCCCAGCGTGGCTTTGAAATTATCCCTTCTTTAAAAAATACATAGATCAATTTTATGTTATGGCTCATTCTGTCTCTGAAAGGGCCTGTTATCATTCAAATCTGCTTGGAAATACCTGTTCATGATTCTTCAGTCAATGCAGGCACACAAGTGTATAGTGGTTAGAATAATATGTGGTGATAGAGGTGAGTATGCCAGGCAAAACAATTTATTTTTCTGACCATTTTTGTTCCATATTATTTCTTATAAAAATGACTTCATGTTGGGCCAGTGTACCTTAATGTTGGAATTAGAAATAAACCCATATTTCATTATAAAAATAATGTGGTAAGGTTTTATAGCTTTTTCTAGAGATGATTCTTTTTTAATCTAAAATAAACTTCCATCTGCCATAATCTGGACTCATTGTCTCCTAAACATGTGAAGCACAGGAAGTCTAGACTTGCACTTCAGGCTTGCACATATAAATAGTATATGAAATCTTTACTGACAGAATGTATCTCAGAGTCTTACGTGCTTAATCATCTTGCAAAGTGATATATCCAGTTGTGCACACCTAAAATCAAAGCTACACAGGTCTGTAGCACAAGTGAGGTAGTCTCTCTGATTTATGACACAGGCTAGAAACAGGCTTTGTAACCTCATAGCTTTTTTTTTTTTTCCAGTGAAAATAACTTCTGCATAGCAGAATTAAAATTAACTATTAACAGAGCTGCACAAATATACACTGAGAGGATGATGTGTGCTTGGAGCAACTTGGCTCCATGGCTGCTCTAAATACAAGGTCTATTTTTGAGGAAGTGATTTATTGTAACAGCTTTATGCTATTCCATAAAGAGCACTGCAAACAGCAAGCTCAACTTCAAGAAAACTGAGAAATAGTTCTGTTAAAAGTTAAGGGCCATTTGGTCCAACAGTTACTTCCTTGGTTCAGACTCGAAGTTAGTGCTCTCTAAGATACCACTGTGCAGAGAAAATCTACAGAGAAGTTGGGTTTGTGGTTTGAAAGCCTGAGAGGAATCAAGAAAAAAACAGGAAGTTGTCTGACATCCTACAGACAGTGGGATGAAAAATGTTACCAGGTAGTGCTTTAAATATCATTATTTCCCAGCTGACACAATCTTCTTCTTCAGCAGTATGTAATATACACTGGTTTGATGGATTTACACATGATAGCATGTATTTATGTCCTTCATAACCCACATATATGCAAGCTTTTCACTTTTCAAGGAGCCACCAAAATACAAGCCCCAGTTAAGTTTTTTTGTGTGTTTCAGCACAATCAGCTGTGGGGTGGAACACAGCTTAGAAAGGTGAATTTAGAGAAAAACTTGACTCTTCAGTTTAAGCTCTGCCATTAAACATACAAGTTATGCAAAAAAGTCCCTCAGTGTGAAAGATGGCCTGTAGGAGGAGGCAGTTATTTTCCAGCTCCTTTTTTAGCTCATGTTTCCTAACCACAATCCTTACTCTAGCAGGTACAGAAGGCAGAATACAGACTTGTTTATTTTGGGAAGGCTGTGCCATCAGTGGCTTCCATTAGTGCTGCTCCAGCTTGCAGCAATGGACAAAGTGGCACCATAGCCTTCTTTAGGTGGGAGAGGGGAGAGAGAGCAGTAGTCCTCCTCTTCTGGCCCATTACACATGGCTGAAATGCTTGCTGAGGCAGGAAAGAAAGCACAGTAGCAAGTTTTGCCTTCTCCTCCCTTCTGCAGGAATAGTCTTTGCATGGAAAAGAGATTCTCTGTAATAGCAACAGTAAGTCACAGCAACACCCTTGGCACTGCTCTGCTGATGTTTCTGACACTTGGCTATGCTGAAAGTTCTGTCACATTAAAGTTCCCCAAAAGATGACCCTGTTTTCAAGTCCCCAAGGCGCTTCAGGGTGCTTCACACCCAGAACCTGCCCCTTATGAGTACCAGAAGTGACTGCCTGATGTGGGTCAACAGTTAACTTTACATCCCCACACTGACTTCTTAATCTTGTGGAAGCTTAAAAACCTGCCATATGGGACAGAAAATTTCCCAGCTGAACACTGTTCTAGAGTGGAAAATAAACCACTAGATAGACAGTGCTGCTGATTTGAGCCACGGACCATTGTGGCAGCAGTGGTGTGCCAGGCATAGACAGTTCAAATTCCTCTATTTAAATCCTCTACCTCAAATGCTTTCTTCTCATATTATGACCTCTATACAAAAAAGCAGTTCAACAGTTTATGTATAGATATGCCATTAACTCAAGCATTGTTAAAAAACTAGAGCTGGAGGCTGGACTACAAATTTCACAGTAGCAATGTGTGGCATTAATATGACATATTAATATCCTTATGGTAGATGATTAAGGCAGGAAATGGAGCTTGGTGAATTAACCTCCCCAGCAGAGTGAAACATGCTCATATAAATTGAACTAAATTAATGCAATACATTGGAGTACTTCCAACTCTGTCTTTAATTCAGCAGGCCTCTTTCTTTTTTAAAAAACATAATTATATTGTGGATGAGTAACTAAGATGTATGAGCCACTCAGCGTGGAAGTGTAAAATAGAGCACATCGCTGATTATGAGCATTTCATAAACCTAAATGTGACAGTTGATCCTTAAAGACAACCTAAAGATGCACATAACCATGTTAATACCTCTGTTATACCTCTTTGTAATTTAATTTCTTTCCATCTGGGTGTAGATGTTCAGAAATATCATGCATCTTTAAGCATATTACTTTAAATTGATGCTATTGGAAAAAACCCCTCTTCCCAAAAGGGTTAGAGCTGTTGGAGGTTTTTATTCTAGAGACTAAGGTATTCTAGTATAAGTCAATAAAAATTATTTTCCTTTTTTTTTTACTATCATTTAAGTCACATATTCTTAACATTAAAACAAGCTTTAAAGACGGTCAAACCTCTGAATAAGCAGCAATGGGATTTTATTTTTTAGAGTTCATTATAAATTATGGTTTACTATGTGAACCACTCCCTGGAGTCATTATTCAGATTTAATTTTGGTAGATATTAAGTAAAAACTTAGGAACACTGCAGTGTTATAACCCTGATGTAGACATACAACAAAATATTATGACATCAGGTATTAGACTGATTCCAGCTATTTTAAAAGAAACTCTTAAGAGATAGAAACCCCACAACCCAACAAACAAAAGTTAATGTAGACTGGAAATAGCCAGCAAAACTGACTTATTGTAGAGGACACACAAGACCTTAGTTTGTACAATCACATTATTGATTCTTCTACTTCAAGTGTCAAACGTTATTCCCGATAAAGGTGCTGGATTTATGTCTTTATACAGCTTGTGAATTTGGCTAAAACTGCATAATGGAAATGGTTTGATAATTTAGAAGTGATTTGACAGAAATGTACTCAAAATGCACTGTCCACATGGTTTTGCTGCAGCCACTTAACTCTTGGTTCTTGATTTAGCAAGATCAATTAAAACAGAAAAACAAAGAGTAGGAAAATATATAAAGCCAGGGCATTCAAAATTTTCAACTTTTAAGTTTCAGCATAGAGTTTGAGTATGAGTAATTCTGTTCTTCCCTGTATGTTTTCCATGGTGATCCAGTAAGGCTTATTTCTAAGTGACAAGAGCCTGACTAATCTCATGAAGTTACAACATCACTGATTTTAAATGGTCAAACTAGAAAATTCGTTCTTATCTTAAGCCTGTCTGTCCTTCCTCATCGATAAAATAAGTAAATTGTTCCCAGCTGCTGTCTGCCCTTTAGATGTGCAGTCTGAGTGTGCTTACCACCCTACAGACACTTGGGGAAAATGAAAAGGACTGAGATTATTAATAAAGAATTAATAAAGAACAAAGACCAAATTATAGGCTGGTAATTGAGACAAAATGAATCAGCACACGATTTGCTGCTGGTCAGCTTTTCTATTAGAAACTTCTCATACAAATACTTCCACATTAAGCATAATCTTAACTCAGACTTGATTGATTAAGCAAGCTAAAGAGCATCTTGGTTTCCACTGCAAGTTAAAGTTCAGAATATCACAGAGGAAACAAAAGGAAATTTATAAAATGAAAAGGATACACATATTCAGCATTAACTTTATAATCATCTGATCATTTAAATAGGTACATTTTTAAAACACTGCTATTTGCATCATATAATGCTACAGCATTTAATAGGAAGTGCCAGTGTATCATAAAATGTCTCCTATAATCCATGAAAGATTTAACCCTTATAAAGAACACCAATGAACTTCTTTGTACTTCACTAATTGGAAATATGAGTCTACTCAACACCTGTGGAGATTCACTGAGTCATGGCCAAAGCCAGCTAAAGGTATTGCTTGTGATCCATCAGGGGAGAGAGCTGTGATGAACAACAATATTGGTGCAAAAAGTTAGCAGAAAAGAAAAGTAATTATAAAACAGAGAGAAAAATGGCCAGCAAAAGGGAGAACAGAAAATACATAAACCATCCTCATTTTTAATAAGCCTCCAGCTAATGAATATGAAAAAGAAACTATGTTAAAGTGTGTTGCTATACCGGTATTTTGGTCAAGTTAAAGGAAAGCAATTTCTATTTTGGGTAGAAGTGCACCCGGTAAAAGAGAAACGTGGCTACATTTATTGCATATATAATTTCAGTAAAGTTATTACAAGTCTGGATAAGTAAATCAGATAAGATTTCCAGAAACATGCATTGGAAAAGCAGAGTTATTAAAGATCAGTGGATTTTGCCATAGTCCAAAGGATCTGTGTAAACCACATATACTGTATGTAAACATACATAAAAAAATACAGCAAAACACTCTATTCTGAAGAATAAAACAGTAGCCAGCACTAAATAAATATTTTTCATTCTTCACATCTCAGTAACAATTCCACCCCACTTTTCTGTCCTTTCTGAGCTATGCATATAATAGTGACTATAATAAATCATAGTTGTCAGGAATGAAAAGGTATCCAATATCATATACAGAGCATTAGATGTATTTTTGTGGGGTTTACCAGTTCTAGGAGGAATACCAAAAAAGCTAGGTTAAATTAAGGTACCCTTTAAAATTAACCCTCCCATGGTAGGGGGTTGGAGCTAGATGATCTTTAAGGTCCCCTCCAACAACAAGCCATGATATGATTTTCTAGTGATCCATCCTTTTAACTTCAAAACAAGAAAGTGCTTTTGGACACTGTCTAGGATTGATACACATTTTTCATGTGTAATATACCCCAGAAAAAAAGAAAAGAAGTTCAGAAAGAGAAAATGTTTCATGCAGGTAGGGATGTTACAAGTACCATGCAGAGAAAGAGCATTCCACAGAAGGAAATAACCTTACCCAGCAAATTCTCCACCCTGGGCTTGTGCCTGGCCTGCAATTGCATCCATGATAGCATCCTGGGAATACATGCTGATCGGGGTGTTATACTGCGCGTGAATTATGGTAGCCTTGCCGCCAAGGCCCTTCACCTCAATGGGTTTGTGGGTAGACAGGGCAGAGTCCTTCAGGACATTGGGGTTGAAACGCTCCGTGAAGTCCGTGCTGGGTTATGCAAGAGTGAGATTCCATGGGGAAGGGGTGGGGGGGAAGAAAGGAGAGAGGCGTGAAGTTAAGTGAGGGAAGCACCAAGAGAGGAGCGTGCACGTCTGTTCATTGCACCTCACCACCAAAGCTTCTCATCAGAGAAGAGCAGACAATCTAAGTGCCAAGCCACAGCAAAAAGATGGCTGTGCTAATGGATGTAATTTTTGGGTTGGCCGACGACGTATAAAAAGGAAAAAAAAGGAAAAAAAAGGTGAAATATCTGTCACTGTATTAAAATATCACAAAAAATGCTTAAGTATCTGTGTGATACTTACATATATCAAAATTCTGTTGTTACATGCATGTATACATCTAAGTGTATACAGACATGCACATGTGATGTACATGCACAAATTCACACTTTTTTTTCCCATCTATTTATGTTTTCAGAAGGGTCTTACAAAGGTCTAGAAAGTACAGTGAAGTGAACAGGTATCAGGTTCTCTATTATTTAGAAGGTTTCAGTACTTTCTGTCTGTTATTAATCACAGTGAAATTTAGTACTTGAGCCTTTTAATCTTCAAAGCTTTCCTCACAAAGACTAAATCTTCCCAAAATCTCTGTACAGCCAGCCTGAAGTGCTGCTATGGCATGATAAATTCTCAGTCCCAGATCAAAATATGCAACACTGCAACCAACGGGACAAGTGCAGTTGGAAGACTTGCTGCCTTAGTTTCCAGTGACTCCATTTACAAGGAAAGATTTTATATTTGACAGACTGACCCCAAAAGCAAGCTACCTGAAGCTCCCATGACACCTGAATGAGTCAGTTTGATGTCAGACTGCAGCCAAAGAGCAGCTAGTTTTCTTGTAGGGCTGAGTTGTGCACAGCTCTAGTCCTAGAGCTACGACTGAGCGCTGCCCAGAGTTCCAATGAACAAGCTAAACCTCAGCCTGTCAGCCACTAATGTGGCTGCTCTTCTTCAAACTATGGGAGATCAGGTGAATCTCTAGTCTGCTGTTCCTGTCCTGCCAGCAGCAGGAGGATGCCAGCAGGAGAGATTCCACACGCTCACCAAACTAGACAAAACCGGGAATTCCGTCCTTTGTGAAATAACAGATATTTCATAAATGTTTCATTCAGAACTGAATCCAAAATCTGGAAATGGATATTTCTGTCCTCACAGAAGAAATGCCAAATAATTTAATTCCATTTGACTTGAACTATTTTCCTTTCCAGCTTAAGTCATTAGACTGTAAGTTTATTGGCTAATACTGTTTTTCTCTTTACACACACAACAGTGTGCCTGTTTACCCAGAGGGTGAGATTTAAAACTGAACCCTCAACCCAGCATGATGGAAAAGGTAAAATCAAGTAAGGCTGGCAGCCATCTGACTTAATTATCTGGAGATTATCACAGGTGCTGTGCCACCTCTGAAGCCAGCCAAGGGATTCTGCTCTGTTTTCAGCCTTTTGTTTGGTGGGATGCCCTGACTTAGGATGGACAGAGAGAGATACAGTCACATATTGCAAATCCTTGATAGAACGTTGACAGCCACATGCACAAGGACCAGAGACACAGAGGTGCACATGCTGCATTACAGCCACAGACTTCAGTTGCACATGCCAACATTTTAAGGGAGGGAACCAGGAAGCAGCATTATGCATTCAAAAAGTGAAAATTATCTTTTTACCAAGATATTCTCATATTCAAAATACATCTCCCTTAACTATTCATCACCTCTGACAACTCTATAATTACACTGACATAATCTCTTGAGGGGTGATGCGAAGAGACGTGCAGGTTGGTGTACTGAGCATGCATATGCCTGACTTCAACAATATCTCTTTTCTTTGTAATACCCTAAATAATAACATGATAATTACAAACACATAGGTCCTCAAGATCTTGGATTTGGTGTACTCTTTTTTTTCACACTGTTGGAAGTACTAAAGAAATTCTAAACCCAAGATCTGAGAAGACTGTGTGAAGGAAAGGACAGAAGTTAAATATGCCACCTTTAAAAAATAATGCTGTTCTCAGCAATTGGTTTCCACAGTCAGTGAGAGAAATCAAAGCTACTAATTTCAGAACAGCCTAAACTTCCCTCATGGTAGCAGCAGGAATCATTTGGGCTTTCACTTGTCTTTAAACAGTTTTAGTGATGTCTTTCAAAAGGTTTTAGTCACATTACATACATCAAGGCTAAACTTCCCCTGAAGTTAACAAGATTCCCATAAAAATAACAGAAAAAAAGTACAGATTGCCAACTGCTGAGTTATTTTTCTAACTCTGGAAGCAAACAGAAGATATTAGTGCTTGTAAGGGGTGCTGGGCTCTAAGACAAAGTGGCAAAGAGACAGCACCTCTGCAAAATGAATGGGATCTTTCTCCTAAGCTAGAAAAGGTTCATGAAAAACAAATCCCAAAGCAAGAAAGATTACAAACACCCCTATAAAGTGACTTCTGCTCTCTAAGACAATCCTGTCAGAATAATTATTAATGTAAACTGGCTAGGGTTTTTCACTCCAAAAGAGTTACATCATCACACCCACACCTCACTGAAATAAAAAGAGAATGACAGATCAATGTAAATTATATTCACTAAATATTATTTCTTTCAACTTTATGTATTCTACTGCTTCTAACTTTGTACTGTCAGTTTAAATTTGACATTTAACTATTAGAATTATTTATTTTATACTCAATTTAACCCAGCCTCTGGCAATTTATGGACAACATTCGGGTCAGAGGCAAAAAGTAGGAGTTAAGAGACAACCCTCAGCCCCTAGAAAACTAAAGGTCAAAACTGAGGACTCTCTGAAATCTCCTAAATAAAGCAGATCAATCACATTTTCAAATCAATAGTTATTCATTTTCTGGGCAATAGATTTATCAAAGTAAATTACTTTGTAGATTTTTTTTTTGCTACATCAGTATATTACTAAATTTGAATTTTGTCAGACTTTAGAAATCAATTTAACATTGAAGCTAAAAGTACTTTACTAATAATACACCAAAAAAGGCTCAGATAATGCTCTCCAGGCTCTGAGGGCAGGAAGATGACTTCAAGATTCAAGAGGACTTAAACCTACTCATAGAAGCAAAACCACCTGAAGGCCTTTAGAAGAACTGGGCAGGCTCAGCTGGCAGCTCCATTCACAGCATTAGAGCATCACCAAGAAATGCCAAGCGGGAGCACTGCTGGACAGCAAGGGCAGCGCAGGGCGCCTGCCACACCAAGCAGATGTTTTAAAAAATACTTGCACTTGCAAGCAGACACAGCAGGAACACGGGGGGGATCATGCTACCCCAGAAAACACATCTTCACACACACAGCATCACATAAATATCTGGCACTACACAGAGGTGATACTAACTTGGCAGCGGTGTTGGTTATGACCTAGAAGAAGAGAAAGAGAACAAACAACATCAAAACCAACCACACAGAAAAAAGTCAATAGTTTGTAGACTGCAAAGGGCAAAAAGTATTTACAAAAGATTACTACAGCTCTTCTCAGACCATCTACAAATAAGAACAAAAAGTAAATATATGCCTAAAAACCCCAATATGATTAAGAAAGGAAAAAATGCAGGGATTATAGTTGATCCACCAGGACTTATTGGGGTACTATGACATTTTGGCTGACCCTTGAACATGATCTTATTGCTGTGCATCCTTAAAAGTACTACTACCAAAGTAAAGGGAGGAAGGTGTAGAGGGAAAAGAGGATTTTCAGAGTATATTCTCATCTGAAAATAGCAAGTGAGTGGTAGAGACTATATTTTTCTCTTAGGTGCTGAATATTCAGGGATGAAGTCTGTTCTCAGGCCACCCTCAGAGTTAGTTTTGCAAGACTGATTTTTAAGTCTTGGTACATGCTGGAGAAACTCCAAAGAATATATTAGTAAATGTTTTAAAGCTAAAACTATGCAAAATCCCTTTGTATGTAACAAAGCAATTGCCTAAATATGACTGTACCTACATTATACCAAGAGAAGTGTAAGCCAAGTATGTTCACACTCCATTCCTGCATCTCTGCATAAACCAGTGATGGTGCTTGCACAGTAATTCCAAAGGATATATCCACAGGATAAAGCTGGGAAGCTGGGAGTGCAAAACAGAGTGTGTTCAGTCTGGACTACAGTGCTCTTCCCAATAACTCTTTATGGTGGTTGCTCAAATAACAGTAATGGGCTGTGATGTTTATTTCAACTTTTTTTTTTTTTTTCCCCCAAAGCTTAGAATACCTACATTCTGCTCTTTTCTTGGTTGAAGACTAATTAATCATATTTTGTGCAAAATAAAGAGGAAGAGATCCAGGGTCAGTTAATAAACTTTTCTTCTTACTTGGCTGCATGGAATACTATTGACAGAACTGAGCACTGAGGATTCTAACTTGCTGCTGTGATATTTCTGTATCTGGGACCGATACAAAACACCTGACAGCAAAGTTACACTGTTCCGAGTAATATTTCAAGTGAATTTGGCTCCTCCTACTTTTTTCCTTGCAGAACTGCTTCTTCCTACATATGATCCTTTTGCCTTGATAAATCCAACAGCAGTTTTCATGATCAAAAGCACTCTAATGAGCCAAAGCTGCAGTAAAGGATTTGCACTTCTGCATTTCCATGGTAAAGCAATCACAGATGACCCTCTGTAGCTACTGATCAGACTCACAGATTTGAAAGTATTCTTCTAGCTTTATAAACCCTACATTAAGCCAAATATATCAGTCTCTCATAGGAACTGGTAGAGATATATTAGGAACAAGCTGCAGCCTGTAAGCTGTAGGTGTATGTAGGACAGCTGGGCACTCATTTACAATGAAACCAAGTGTAATGGCATAATTTTCTGACTCAGCCAGGCATCTATCACACATATAAAATAACATTTTCAAGGCAGAACTACCAAACTCCTAAAATACACCTTAATTAAAGGACTATAAGAGTATGTCCACAGAAAAGAAACACTATGTGCACACACTAAGAATAGCTCAGCAGTCATGTCTTAGTAAAGATTTTTGAGATGTGAAGAGGCTCCTATAGCTTCTTTCAGGAACAGTAAAGCTTTGCTTCTCCTTATGTTTAGGATGTGATGAGAAAATTCCTCCCAGTTCAGAACCACACATTATTTTACTTTGATTCTATATAGGGACATGCCTGGAACACCTAGCTTGCTGCTCACAGAGGTCACACAGTAAGAGGCCAGTAACCCAAGCCACCTGGCACATACTTGTGGGACAGGTATTTGCTGCCCTTGCCCTTCAGTGTGAAAAATAACTTCCTCTGGAATGAAAAAGAGGCACATGTTACAAACTATGACTCATTGTTCATATTTATTCATACACTCCAGAGCTTTCAGCACATCACGTTCCACACTCCTAACAGGCTATCTCATTTTTCACCTTGGGTCAGAGTGATAAAGCTTTAATGTAAAATTTATCAGACAAACAGATGCTTGTTCTTCTTCACAGATCAAGGAAATAATCTCAAAATTTATTTCAGCTTCTTGATAAGATTTTCCAAAGGGTTTAGCTAAACCTGTAACAGCAATTCCCACAATTAAATTTAAATAATTTGGTGAAAAGGGCACAGAATTAAAACATACCTTAAATTCACTTCTCATGCTTGAACTTTCTCGCAGCTTTCATACAGCTAAGTGCACGTTTGTGAAAGCACAATTAATTCAGCTTTGGAGCACCACAATATCACAACCACCTTGTATTATATGGTTAGAACGTTCCCAACAAAGACCAGAGCTGATTTTGCAGTGCTCACAGTACCTCCTTATTCACATATATACATTGTGAGATTGAGATTATCATGGATGCCACCACATCCTAAGATAGTTACAGGCTCCAAGTTTTTCTCCACAGAGCAGGAGGCAAGATACTTCTTCCTTCATGGATAACAGTCAAGTGAGAGTGGGAATGATAGCACTATTGAGCTCTGAATTTTCTCTGCATGTCAACAGAGATGTACACTTCTCTAAATCTCAGAGAAGTTACTTGACAATACACATTTATTTAGTGCTTCTGGGCTCTTTCATCTTTTCAGAATGTTCCTGCACTGCAAGATAAGTTTTTTTTATTTTGTTTGTTCATCACTATTACAGATAGTAAAGGCAGATAGCAGTTCCCTAAAATTTTGTTCAAACTGAATAGAAAGGCTCACATTTACTTTAGTAAGTGATGGATGCAGCTGTGTTGTATTCTGATAACAAACAGCCACAATGCTGAGCCATCCAAAATTCAGCCCCTTCACCCTCACCCCTGCAGGTATTAAGGAGGGATATGAAAATAGTGGAGAAAAAGACAACATGATATACTCCCAGGAAGCTCTGTATATTGAAATAAGACAAGAATTGGTATTCTTCAGAAAACTGCAATTTAAGACAGAAGTATTCTGAGGTTTATTTTGCTGATCTTGCTTACTAACTGAAATTATTTTCTTTTAAACAGTAATTGCTTTACTTAATTATCCAATATGAGAAGGGATGATAGTATTTTCTCAGTTAAGTTAATTAGAATTGTTAATGTTGAGTGCTCAAGAGAGTGGCAGTGAATAATCTAAAACTGCTTGAATCATCTAAAACAGGTGTATGTGCTCTTGTAATAAGATGAAATGTCCCTACTTTGCTACAACTTAAAACCTCTTGGTTTTACTTTTCCAAAGAGCTTCTGCAAAGGGATATAAAGTACTTGAAGATATGCATTTGCTATCAGACTTTGAGCAGATTGTCAGAAATTTTTGGTTTTCCTTGTATAGCCAAGTCCCTAGTGTAAGAAAAAATACTTTTCCCCATATTCCTAACAATAAATAAATTTATTCTGATTTAAAAAAACAACAAACAAAAAACCCACATGTAAGAGACTGTCTGAAGTTTCCCTCATTTGCCTCACAACCATCACAAGGACAGAGACTAAGACCCTGAGGAGCCCAAGGGACTTTGTACAGGGGTTCTGGCCTGGTTGAGGTTGATGCTTGCCAAGTGACTGTTTGCAGGTGTGCTTGCTGTGCTGCCATGGTACCCTGCCTTCAATCCTGCTGGTGAGCAGGGATTTGTACAGAGCGGAGCGGCCTGTTCTGTACCTTACACCCACTTCCCAGAGCAACAGGTCTCATCACAATAGCCCAGGAATTTCCCCACCTCCTGGCCAGCTGCTCCTTGCTTTTGAAACAGACTATAAAAGTGACTTTCTAAGTTACTATCTGAGAGAGAGATCTCCCCACGGAAGAAGACACTGGCGCCCCTAGGTCATCCGTTGGTAGCTATAACCCCCCCCCTTTTTCTCTCTTTTTACTTTGCCTCTTTATCTCTCTCTCTCTCTCTTTCTCTCCCTCTCATCTATAGCATAACCCTTGTTGTTGGCACTAAAATAAAGGTGCATTATTGCTGTTGTGATGAAACTGAAATCCCTTGGTGTCCTTTTTTGCACTCTGAGATGAAACGAACCTCTCACGACTCCCACTTGTGTTAGCGGACTGTGACACCAAAAATAAACTAAAAAGTTGTATTTGTTTGATGATTTATACATGAAGGCAAAAAAATCAGGAAAACCTGTTTCTTACTGCTTTTTCTCATGTACTGTAGTCAGAACTCCTCACTCCATAAACCTACTAATAAAACAGGTGACCTGCAATACAGGAATATGGAAAACCTTGACAGCATGGGATAAAACTATCCGGGCAGTATCTGGAGGTCATTCATTGTTACAACAAAGTTAACATTAAAGCTAGCAGATGCAAGACATTCTTCAAACCAGAGGATTCAAAATATTGCAGTTCTGACTCGTTTTGCATAGGAAAGCCAACACATTAAGGCAGGAATTACAGCAAGACATGCCAGTGCTGGTCAAAATCATTTCTCTTTAGCAAAGTACCAAAGATCAGGTGTGGTTTACAGCAGCTGCTCTCGTGTCTGACAGGAATACTTGGTTCTCTGAGACTCCATGCATTAGTCAGAACTGCTGAGTTCTACAACCCTGAGATGATTACAGTTACTTCAGTCCTAGTGCTCCCCATCATGCTCTGCTGACTATTGCCAATCCATGGTGCACTTCAGATACCAACAACCATTGCTCTGTAATGGCAATATGTGTATGTTTTGGGGGCTACTGGAAAATTTAATGATTGATCCAGACCTTAATCATGATTGCCAGACAAATGCACAATAGGGTAAGCACCATTACATTCACTGTTCAGCAAGTTCATTACTTATTGAAATAATTGAAGATGTTACCATATTACCTACCCTCTAGGAAGTCCACCTTCTGAAGCCCTTCGGTTGAGACTCAATTTATGCATCTCAGCCATTTCCCTCAGGGTCTCTGCCGAGTAAAGGCCAATGGGGTTGTTATACTGCCTTGCAGGGCTCAGCTGGTGTGCAGGGCTACTGCC